CTAGAGCTACTAGTCCTGGAGGTGCTGCTGGTGCTGGAGGTGCTGGAGGTACTGCTGGAGGTACTAGAGGTGCTGCTGGTGTTGGAGTTACTAGAGCTGCTAGGCCTGGAGGTACTGCTGGAGGTACTAGAGGTGCTACTGGTGCTGGAGGTACTGGAGCTGCTAGGCCTGGAGGTACTGGAGGTGCTACTGGTGCTGGAGGTGCTGGAGGTGCTGCTGGTGCTGCTGGTGCTGGAGGTACTGGAGCTGCTGCTGGTGCTGGAGGTACTGGAGCTGCTGGTGCTGGAGGTACTGCTGGTACTGGAGGTGCTGGGGGTACTGGAGCTGCTAGCACTGGAGGTGCTGGTGCTACTGGTGCTAGAGTTGCGGGAGCTGCTGGTCCTGGAGGTGCTCGTACTAGAGGTACTGGAGTTGCCGGAGCTGGTGGTGTTGCTCCTGCTGGAGGTGCTTCTGGAGCTGCTGACCTTGGAGGTGCTGGTGCTGCTGGTACTGGAGGCGCTGGAGCTGGAGGTACTGGAGGTGCTGGAGCTGCTGGTCCTGGAGGTGCTCGTACTAGAGGTGCTGGAGCTGCCGGAGCAGGTGGTGCTGCTGGTGCTGGAGGTGCTGGAGGTGCTACTGGAGCTGCTGGCACTGGAGGTGCTGGAAGTACTGCTGGTGCTGGAGGCGCTGGAGCTGAAGCTGGAGGTACTGGAGGTGCTGGAGCTGCTGGTCCTGGAGGTGCTCGTACTAGAGGTGCTGGAGCTGACGGAGCAGGTGGTGCTACAGGTGCTGGAGGTGCTGGAGGTGCTACTGGAGCTGCTGGCACTGGAGGTGCAGGAGGTACTACTGGTGCTCGAGGTGCCGGCGCTGCCGGAGCTCGTGGTGCTGCTGGTGCTGGAGGTGCTGGAGGTGCTGGTGCTACTGGTGCTGGAGCTGCTGCTGTGAGTACTGGTGGAGCTGCTCCTGCTGGAGGTACGAGAGCTGCTGGTGCTCTTCGCCACCTTCTCAGACTTCCGCCAGGTGCTACTGACTTCCCTGTGGCAGGTACTACTCCTCCAGTCTCAGCGGCCGCTGCTACCGCACTCCCCACTGCCTGCTCCTGCTCCTTACACTGCGGTGTCAGAGTCCCTGACTGAGCGTCGAGAGCCTGAGACTCGTGCTTCCACCCCTGAGCGTCGAGAGCCTGAGTCTAGCTTTGACCTTGAGCCTGAGCCTAGAGCTGCTGTCCGTGCTCGTGTTCCTCGTGTTCGTCGTCAGCGTGCTCCGGCTGTCCCCGGCACTCACGATATGACACTCCGTCCTTCCTCTGTTCCTCAGCGTGTTGTCCTACTGTTACCTCCGGCGTCCTCTCTGCCTGACGTTGCTGACCCTCCGTCTGACCTTGCGCGTGCTTCCAGTCCGACTGTCACTCGTTTTGTTGCTACAGTTGTGACGGACCCTACGTTCTCGTCTCCTGCTGCGTCTGCCTTAGTCGCTGAGCTAGTTGACTTTGCTGCTGCGCACCGCCTAGACTACCTTGCGAGCCTTGTTTCTGACCCTGACCCTGCCTGTCCTCCGTCCGTCGGGGGTGAGGTTGCCCTTGGCTGTGACGTTCTTGAGGACAGACAGGAGGAGCTAGAGTGTCTTGCGGTCACTGCACCCCATCTCGCGACCATGCTGCTTGCCCCTGAGGGAGACCCGGATGCACTTGACATCCCGACCCCGCGCTCTTACAGAGAGGCGATCTCGGGTGAGTACTCCTCTCAGTGGCAGACAGCCATGGACGCAGAGATGGCTTCATGGAAGTCCACAGACACCTACGTCGACGAGGTTCCCCCACCTGGGGCGAACATCGTCAGTGGCATGTGGATTTTCAGGGTGAAGCGGCCGCCGGGTTCTCCGCCTGCCTTCAAGGCACGTTACGTTGCTCGAGGCTTCAGTCAGCGTGAGGGGGTCGACTTCTTTCAGGCCTTCTCCCCCACCCCGAAGATGACCACTCTTCGGGTGTTGCTACATGTTGCAGCTCAGCGTGACTACGAGCTGCACTCCCTCGACTTCTCGACAACTTTCTTGCAGGGTAGCCTTCACGAGGCCATCTGGTTGCACCGTCCAGAAGGCTTCACTGGGTCGTTTCCTGAGGGTACGCAGTGGAGCCTACGGCGACCAGTGTACGGCCTACGTCAGGCGCCCCGCGAGTGGCACGACACACTGAGGACGACACTTGCGGCTCTTGGGTTTGCTCCTTCGACTGCTGACCCGTCGCTGTTTCTAAGCACCGACACTACTCTGCCGCCGTTCTACATCCTCGTGTACGTCGACGACTTGGGTTTTGCTACTGCTGACACTGAGGCACTGGCCCTAGTGAAGGCGGAGCTGCAGGAGAGACACACCTGCAATGACCTGGGTGAGCTGCGGAGCTATCTTGGCTTGCAGATCACCCAGGACAGAGCACGGCGCACCATCACCCTGACTCAGTCACACATGGTGCACCAGGTCCTTCAGCGCTTCTGCTTCACGTGGTCCTCGCCACAGCCCACTCCTCTGTCTACCGGCCACTCGCTCTCAGCTCCACCTTTGGACGAGTCCGTAGATTCGAGTGGTCCGTACCCAGAGCTTGTGGGTTGCCTCATGTACCTGATGACGTGCACACTACCTGACCTCGCGTACCCTCTCAGCCTCCTGGCTCGCTACGTGGCACCCGGTAGACACCGAAAGGTGCACTTTGATGCTGCGAAGAGGGTACTGCGTTACTTGTGCAGTACATCGGGCATGGGGCTCATGCTTGGAGGACAGGGTTCAGTGGTACTCATAGGACACTCTGACGCTTCTTGGGCCGACGACCAGGCGACTCAGCGTTCGTCATTGGGTTACACCTTCAGTCTTGGCTCTGGTTCTGTCTCGTGGAGGTCCACTCGTTCTTCTTCTGTGCTTAGCTCCAGCTGCGAGGCCGAGATCTACGCTGGGGCCATGGCTGCACAGGATTTACGCTGGCTGACCTACTTGCTGACCGACTTGGGGAAGCGGCCTCGTTCTCCTCCAGTTCTGTACGTCGACAACAAGGCAATGCTTGCCTTGTGTCGCGAGCAGAGACTGGAGCACAGAACGAAGCACATTGCTCTTCGCTACTTCCTTGCGCGTGAGCTGCAGCAGCGTGGTCAGCTGCGCCTTGCTTACGTGGCCTCTCGGGCTAACACTGCTGATGTCTTCACCAAGGCCCTTGGGTCTGGTGATCATCAGCGTTTCTGTACTGCTCTTGGACTTGTGCCCACTCTGCCTCACCTGCTGGTTGCTTGATTTGCTCTTGTTGTACATTGATATATATCTTTATACCTGCTTGTTTACTCTTGCTAGGTTGTGATCAGTGTGCTGCCTTGCTATTATAACTCTGCATGTGAACTGGCCTTGTGGCCACTTGCTTGTGCTCAGATTGTGTGGTGTCCTTTAGATCCACCCTGAGCTTTGCCTTGCTTGTTCTCTTGCTTGACTGGTCTTGTGACCGTCTGTTATGTTTGCTCTCTCCCACTTAGCCTATGGGGGTGTGTCAAACTATATGTTTGTGTTCTCTCTAGGCTATAGTGGGTTAGCTTACAAGGGGTACAACACTTTAGGGTTAGTACTTGTACCCAACTCATTCCTACTTCTTCCGCGAACGCACCACAGTCACACCGCTCACTGCACCTGTCCCGGTCACTCTGGCTGACCCCTCTGGGGGCCCAGTCGTAGCATGTGCCTCCACCGTTCTCTCGTGTCCGGCACCCCCTTCCGGCTCGCTTGCAGGTCTCCACCTCCCCTCGTTCACTACGAACTTGGTGAGTAGCGCTGTCCTCCAGGACCTGTTTGTCACTATGACTACTCCTGGGGGTGAGTTTGTGGCGATCTGTACGGACTCACGCACTGGCGCCCACCTCGCCACGTTCACTTGGAGACCTGGGTCTGGCCTGTACACACTGACCACTGAGTCTGCACAAGTAGCTGCGTCCGGTCAGGTAGCTGCGTTTTGCTCGTGTCAGTTACTCACGCACCTGTCTCTCTTCTGGCACCACCGTCTGGGTCACCCCTCCCTGTCGCGTCTGCGTAGCATGCACTCCCGTCTCCTGGTCTCTGGCCTCCTCAGGTCCATGCCCCCGCTCCCGCGGTCGCTTGCACCACCGTGCCTTCCCTACGTCGAGGGGCGTCAGCGCGCCGCTCCTCACTCCTCCTCGTTTCCTCCGACCACTTCTCCTCTGCAGACTCTCCACATGGACGTGTGGGGCCCCGCCCGCGTCCGTGGACAGGACCGAGAGCGCTACTTTCTGATGGTTGTTGACGACTAAACGCGCTACACCACGGTCTTCCCCTTGCAGAGCAAGGTGGATGTCTGAGGTGTTTTGATCCCCTGGATCCACACTGTTCGTCGCCAGCTGAGCGCACGGTTTCAGCAGGACCTTCAGGTCCTGCGACTGCACTCTGACAGAGGCGGTGAGTTTTCCTCCCACCTCCTTGATGACTTTTGTCGTCAGAAGGGTATCGCCCAGTCGTTCACGCTTCCGGCCTCTCCACACCAATGGGATTGCTGAACGCCGCATTGGCTTGATCATGGAGGTTGCTTGCACCTCCATGATCCATGCGGCTGCTCCCCATTTTCTGTGGCCGTTTGCACTCGTAACAACAATGGCTTGACAGAGTATAGCTTTCTCATGGTATAAACGATTAGTACATGTACATCTATGCAAATATGTGCTCATATGCAAGCATTAAGTGTCGAGTCTTTTATTGTGTTGATATTTAGTAGTCTAGTCTCTCAAAGATCCTAGGACCTTCTCTCCTCCAACATAAAATGTATGATATAATGAGTCAAATGTAGGGAAGGGCACAAAAGAAATGTTGAGATATGTACAACCTATATTTACAGGTTAGAATGCCGTCCCCATCGAACTAGTATCGTACACAGTGAAGGACGGCAATCGCCATCGATGTCGAAGGTAGTTCTGGCTGATGTGTTAGTTTCGTCTCGTCCTCATCCTCGTAGTCGCCTCTGCTCACCGCAGGGGTCCGATCGCACGCTAGAAGGAAGTATCTAGGGCAGGGGGGAGCATCGCCTGCCACAGCCATTTCACGACGGACGCTGCGGACACCAATCCCACAGCCTCGCCTCCCATTTCCACAATGGCCATCCCTCCCGAATCCGCCATCGCAACGATCACTTCGCGCATAGTGTTCGCCGCGCCGCACGTGAGATGTTTCGCCACCGCGCCCCCTCCGCCCTGGGACCTCACGATGTTCAGGAAATCCGCCACCGACAGGTCCCTGCACGGCACCAGCCAACCTCGCGCGTTAACCTAATATGTTAGAAGGATCACGCAGCGTTCGCGCGCGACACGCGCCGCGCGATAGCATGCGACAAGTAATCGAGCCAAGCGATTTTCTGCGCGTGCTGTACATACCTGAGGTCGGCGGGAGTGCAGTTGAGATCCATCAGCAACTCGAGGTCGCGCAGTCGAAGTACGTCGTACGCGCATGACGTCCCCACACCCTCCCCCTCCCTTTCCTCCTCCCTCTTCCTCTCCCTTTCTCCCACCCCGCTGTCCACCACGGCCTCTCCCGCGTTGCACACCCACATCGACCGCACGGCCTCTGGCAATGGACACGCGGCGCGCACCCTCACTGGCTGCACCACTGCCGCGCTGCCATGGGGAATGCGAACGGACAGGGAGGGCGGGGGAAGAGGAGGGCAGCGGAGGCGGGAGGAAGTTGAGGCCGGCGAGGGTGGAAGGATGAGGAGGGACTCTGAAATCGGAAGTCAATTTGACCGAATGGAAGGATCGCTTGTGGGAGGAAGTGACGGGAAGTTGGGTAGCTGGGAAGCAGAGGGCAGAGGGCAGAGGGCAGAGGGCAGAGGGCATAGGTTGGCTTCACCTGCACATGGCGATGGTGACCTGATCCAGGTACGAAGACCACGGGTCATGCTGTGCTATCAACGCCACCTGATGGAACATATCCTCCTGCAGCCACCACAGCCACCACAGCCAGCAGTCAAGAGGCGTGCTTGCAACCAGAATCGCGCGAGTGGACCTGAGTGACTTTTAAGGCGCCTCAAGAGGCGTGCTTGCAAGCAGAATTGGGAGCAGACCTGAGTGATGATGGAGTCGGAGTGGCCTTTGTTGCCTGGCAGCAGCACGACAGAGTCATCCACGTGTGCCAGTATCTGCAGCACGTGCAGCATGTTGTCCGCCTCGGTGAGCGGGAACACAGGCAGGCACTTGGTGGAATGCGCCATTGCACTCAGCTGCAATGAGCAAGGCGAAACAGGGAGGACAGAGAGCAAGAGTTTCCTTTAAACACTGTGTCTAGCTCCACACAATCGCGAGATGGGATGTAATGCTGTGTCGCTTCAGAATTGTCCATACTGCTGAGGAATGATTGATGAGAGTGGAGATAGACGTACAGGTACTCGCACGTACTGCTGCAGCTCCTGCAGCTGCCACAGCAAGGTTCCAGGGATGCGCTTCCCTGGTAGAGATAGCTTCTGCCTGCCCTGGTCTGCTGCTTGTCTACTGCCCGTGGATTTTTTAGAGGAAGGGCATTCTTGACATGCTGAGTTTCCACTCGCACTCTTGCAAGGGGAGGGGCCACCAGAAATCGTCGCCACAGCTGACTTCCACGAGTCACGGAACGGCTTCTTGTTCACCTTGTCCAGTGCCACCTGCAGACGATTAGGCCATGGAAACACCCTCACGAATGACTAGCATGGACTAGTATTGGATATGGATGGAGTATTTAGACCTAGAATGGCCAGTGACACTGACCTTGAATTCTTTGCTTTCCTCTCGCAGTCCGTGGTGAGCTTGCACAGACCCATACAGCAGGTCCATCTCCTGTCAAACGTGTGGCACAAGAGCAAGAAATCGATAGTGTAGAGGCCACCAAAACACTTCTCATGTGATTTTCGTGGGGGGGAACGTGCTGGCGATAAAAACACTCGCGGAGCAGTGCTTGCAAAACAATGCTACTAGTAGCGCAAAAAATAACAGTCAAATTTAGACTAGTAGACTTACCACAACGGCCCAGGCCACCAGATCCGCGGCCCTCAGCGCACCTGCCGCGAAGGCCTCTCTGGTAAACAGCGCGCTGGTGAATTCATCTGGCAGAGGACCCACTCTGATCACTCCGTGCTCCGCCTGCCAAGCAGACACGGCCGTGATGGAACGCCTACTACCGTTGAGCTGCGCCTTGGGCACTCTAAGAAACTACGAATTCACATAAACTGGAACTAAAAGTAGCAGCGATATCAGGAGAGTAGCGCGTGGCCCCACCTCACTGTCGAACAGCGACTGAATGGCGTCCACCATTGACATGTTTACGGCGATCTCGTGCACTGCCAGAATTCAAATCCATGCCGTCAGCAACTTCAAGTTGAAGGTCAGTCAAGAGTTCTCCTTAAATTTGAATATTCCAGCTTTTAATAGCAACAGCGTACCGGGTTTGCGGATGCCGAACGAGCCGACTGTTTTCAAAAACAAAAAGCGCTTGCATAACTCCAGCCCTTCCGACATGATGGGAGTCAATTTTTTAGTCTTGGAGAACAGGAGCGATACTCTAGTTTTTGTGCAAACGATTAAAGTCAGCCGTCGAAAAGAAAGAAGAGCAAGTACTCACGGCGTTACTGCCAACCTTCCTGATGAACACACGAAACCGTCTGCAAATCTGCGAGTCCTGGTTCTTCAGTGGGCCTTCTAGCTGCTGTCCACAAGCAGTTGTCAGGAATGACACAGCGTGCCGTGCTGCGCTGCATGGCATTCGCATGTTGCTCCAGAGTACACTTGGCGGCGCGGTCGGCTGGAGGGAACAGATCAAGCCCTGAGCTGCGAGCCACCCGACATTGAGTCTCGGCCAACTCAGATAAGTGAACAGAAAATGACATACTGTTAGGAGTTTCCCAACCATGTGTCAAACCTCCACTTAAAAAATTCCCTACACTACCTCCCTCCTCAAGGAAGCCCTTCGCTAAGTTATTGCATGTATGTCGCGGAATCCCTTGTCAGAAGTGAACAGCGGAATTGATTGACTAGAATGAGTTGGGATACAAGTATGCAACCCTAAAAGGGTTGTACTCGTACCCCACTATAGCCTAGAACAGAATTATAACATTTGACACACCCCCATAGGCTAAGTGGGGGACAGCAAGACGTAGCAAGCAACGCAAAGAGGTCACAAGACCAGTCAAGAGAGGAAGCAAAGCAAAGCTCAAGGTGGATCTCAAGATCACCACACAGTCCAAGCACAAGGAAGCGACCACAAGGCCAGTTCACAAGCAGCGTTATAAGAGCAAAAGCAGTACAAATATCACAACCTAGCAGGTGTACACTGTCAGAATGTCGATGTTTGTCTAGCCTGCAGTGGGGTACTCTATAGCGAGTACAACCCAATTAGGGTTTCCTATATGTATCTCAACTGCTGCTAGTGAAAACCCCTTTCCTGTTTCTAGCTTGTGCCTGCTATTTCGACATGCTATCAGAGCAGGTCGACCCTCCTGGGTCGATCCTGTGGATGGGCCCGCCACCTAATGCTTCCGCTGCTGTCCTGCCTATCGCGCGCCCCGGGCGCGCGACGTGTTCTGCTTGCCGCGCGCTCGGGTGCACGGCGTATTTTTCATCCCGCCGCGCGCTCGGGGCGCGCGGCGGTTTTCTGCCCGCCGTGCGCCCCGAGGCGCGCGGCGGTTTTCTGCCCCGTCGATCCGCGCGTCGCCCCCCGTCGCCCGTCGCAGCGCCCCCGGGGACCCGCGCGTCGCCCCCCGTCGCCCGTAGCGGCCCGCGCGACCTGCGCCAGGCCCGCGCGCGGCCCGTACAGCCCGCGCGAGGCCCGTACAGCCCGCGCGCGGCCCTCGCGCGGCTCAGGCAGCCCGCGCGCGGTTCGTCCGGCCTGCGCCAGGCCCGTGAGCGGCCCTTACCGTCTGCCCCAGTGCCGTGTGTGTGAGCCGTCCCCTGCTCCTCCTCCTCTTCCGTCTCCCACTGCTGCAGCTGCCGCTGAGGGGGGTGGATGTGTTGGAGCCGTCGGAGTGGTACGAGGGGGGTGGCGTGTGAGCGGTGCTAGTGGTTCAGTAGGGGGTGTGTGAAAGGGGTGTGGGACAGTTGGGGGAGGTTGACCGGAGGTAGCCGACTTGTCATCCGCAGCGCCTGAAGTCCAGAGAGCCACGACCCCCTGTGGCCGTGTAGTCCGGGGCTCTGCGCCCGGTAGCCACAGTGTGAGCACTACTGGTAGTCTAGAGAGCCACGACCCCCTGTGGCCGTGTCGTCCGGGGCTCTGCGCCCGGTAGCCACAGTGTGAGCACTCCTGGGAGCACAGTGAGCCAGCTGCGCCTGTCACCGTGTAGCCCGGGTTTAGCCTGGTAGCGTCAGTGCTGCGCACTCCTGTTGCCCGTGTGTCTGCAGCTTCAGCCGTCGCCTCTCATCTTCTCGTCCTCCATAGTTTCTCCTCCTCCTCACTTGCCCTCTGTGATAGCCTCTAGCTTTGCTTATCCTTGTGAACTATTGCACTGCCTGCTTGTTGTGTTGATTGTACCCCACTTTGACTATGGGGGTGTGTCAGAATGTCGATGTTTGTCTAGCCTGCAGTGGGGTACTCTATAGCGAGTACAACCCAATTAGGGTTTCCTATATGTATCTCAACTGCTGCTAGTGAAAACCCCTTTCCTGTTTCTAGCTTGTGCCTGCTATTTCGACACATGCAGGTATAAATATATAGAGCATAGTACAGTAAGACTAGAACAAGACTAGAGCAAGTGAGGCAGAGTAGGCATAAGTCCAAGAGCAGTGCAGAAACGCGGATGATCACCAGACCCAAGGGCCTAGGTGAAGATATCAGCAGTGTTGGCCTGGGAGGCCACGTAAGAAAGGCGAAGCTGACCACGCTGCTGCAACTCTCGCACGAGAAAGTAAAGAAGGGCAATGTGATTCGTTCTGCTCTCGAGTCTCTGCTCCTGACACAAGGCAATCATGGCCTTGTTGTCAGCGAACAGGACCGGTGCAAAACGAGGCCGCTCGCCCAAGTCGGTAAGCAGGTAGGTCAGCCAACGTAGCTCCTGCGCAGCCATCGCCCCAACGTAGATCTCGGCCTCACAGCTGGAGCTGAGCACAGAGGACACGCGAGTGGACCTCCGCGAGACAGAGCCAAGACCAAGGCTGAAAGTGTAACCCAGTGAAGACCGGGAAGTCGCCTGGTCGTCGGCCCACGAAGCGTCTAAGTGCCCGGTGAGCACAACTGAACCCCGTCCCCCAAGCACAAGCCCCAAGCCTGATGTACTGGCCTAGTAGCGCAGTACCCTCTTAGCAGCCCGCCAGTGCTCAGGGCGGTGTCTCCCGGGCGCCACGTAGCACGCCAGGATGCTGAGAGGGTACGCGAGTTCAGGCTGAGTGCACGTCATCAAGTACATGAGGCAACCCACAAGCTCTGGATACGGACCACTCGGCTCTACGGACTCGTCCGAAGGTGGAGCTGAGAGCGAGTGGCCCGTAGGCAGAGGAGTGGGTTGTGCCGAGGAGAACTGAAAGCCGAAGCGCAGAAGGACCTGCTGCACCATGTGTGACTGAGTCAGAGTGATGGTGCGCGCTGCTATGTTCCGGGTGATCTGCAAGCCAAGATAGCTCCACAGTTCACCCAGATCAGTGCAGGTGTGTCTCTTCTGCAGCTCGGCCTTCACAAAGTCCAGTGCCTCACTGTCAGCTGTCGCAAAGACCAAGTCGTCGACGTACACGAGGATGTAGAACGGCAGCAAAGTAGAGTCGGTGCGCAGAAACAGCGACGGGTCGACAATCAAAGGAGCGAAGCCAAGAGCCGCAAGTGTCGTCCTCAGTGTGTCGTGCCACTCGCGGGGCGCCTGACGGAGACCGTAGACTGGCCGCCGGAGGCTCCAGTGGGTACCCCCAGGAAACAACCCAGTGAAGCCAGGTGGGCGGCGCAGCCAGATCTCCTCGTGGATGCTGCCCTGCAAGAAAGCTGTCGAGAAGTCAAGCGAGTGCAGCTCGTAGTCGCGCCGTGCTGCAACGTGCAGTAGCACCCGAAGAGTCGTCATCTTCGGGGTGGGGGAGAAGGTTTGGAAGAAGTCGACCCCCTCACGCTGACTGAAGCCACGTGCAACGTAGCGCGCCTTGAAGGTAGATGGTGAACCCGGCGGCCGCTTCACCCTGAAAATCCACATGCCACTGACGACGTTCGCCCCAGGTGGTGGGACGGCGTCGACATAGGTGCCAGTGGACTTCCAGGAAGCCATCTCATCGTCCATAGCTGTCTGCCACTGAGAGGAGTAAGGACCTGTGATCGCCTCTCTGTAAGAGCGAGGGATCGGGATGTCAAGTGCATCCGGGTCTCCCTCAGGGGCAAGCAGCATGGCAGCGAGATGGGGTGAAGCAGCCCCGCGGTACTCCATCTCAAACTGCTTGTCCTCAAGAACGTCACAGCCAAGGGCGAGCTCACCCCCGACGGACGTAGGACAGGCAGGGTCAGAAACCAGACCCGGAAGGTAGTCAAGGCGGCAAGTAGCAGCAAAGTCAGTGAGCTCAGCGACAAAGGCAGAAGCAGCAGTAGTCGAAAAAAGTAGGGTCAGTCACAAGCATGGCAAAACAACGGGTGACAGTCGGGCTGGCAGCACGAGCAAGGTCAGACGCATGGTCAGGTACGTCAGGAAGAGAAGACGAGGGAGGTAACAGAAGGACAACAGGCTGCGAAACAGAGGAAGGACGAAGTGCCATTGTGTGCGTAGTGGGAACAGGAGGAGGGCGAACACGACGATCACGGCGAACATGAGCAGCACGTGAGGCAGGAGGTGAGGTAACAGGGGAGGTAGCACGAGACGCAGGCTCCCGACGCTCAGTTAGGGAGACGGCCAAAGGGGAGTAACGAGCAGGAGAAGGCAGAGGGGGGTCAGGCGGTAACAGTGCCTGAGAGAGGTCAGGTGGAGGAAACAACAGGGGAGGAGTAGTACCAGGGGTCGTCGGCTTAGCAGAGGCAGGCAGGAGTCTGAGAAGGTGGTGAATCGCCGACTCAGGTAGTGAAGACGACGGCTGCTCCCCTAGACCCAGCTCCTCCAGCACGAACGCCAGGAATGCCAGTCCCTGTAACACCTCTAGCGCCAGTACGACGAACACCCGCAGGGGCAGCACCTCCGGCTCCAGTTTCAACACCTCCAGCTCCAGCACCTCCAGCTCCAGCACCTCTAGCTCTAGCACCTGTACCGCCAGTACCCCCAGCGACAGGACCTCCAGCGACAGCACCACTACCATAACGGCCGCTATGGTAGTGGCTGCAACACACCCCGAGAACCTTCAGCAGTAGTACCCTCGACTCCACCAACCAG